CTCAGTGTACTTCGTTCAGTTACGTATTGCTTTACATCCAGACACTATAAAAAAATGTTTCCAAAAGCGGGATTTGCAACTGTCAAAGGGGACGATGCATTTGACGAAGAGGACAACATTCCTTTAAGTCAGTTATGCTTCAATTTTAAAAACATGCCAGAAGTCCAGATCTTAAAGAATATCTGACAGTCGTTTCAGATGTCCCTACGGAAAATCCTAGTTTAGAGATGCAGGGAATAATCCAGGAATTTACAAACAACAAGGACAGACAGGACTCCACTCAAGCCGAAGAGGAAGAAGATGAAGGCCAAGACATTTTGTGTTTATCTATAAATAATATGAGTGAAGTATGTGAAAAATTAAGAGACATTCAGAATATTTTGGTGATTCAAAACAAAGACGAACTAGCGGTTGTTATTGCCCATACTTTGATGAAATTTGAAAGGTAATTACAAAAATCAAAATTAAAAATTTAAAGCAGACTACCATTAATCAGTTTTCACCATATAAAATAAGGTTATCATTTTGTAACTTTTTTAAAGTCAATTGTACATATGTATATAAGAATACCTATGTGTAAAATACATAATAATACATTGTAAGTTTTTTCAAAAATTCTTCTTATGCTTAATAAAGTTTTTTTTGTAACAACTGAATTGTTTTTATGCCAAAAATCCTAAACTGAAGATCATTTATTAACACTTATGGTGTGTTTGTACTACATGCTCATGCCAATTTTAATTACTTTTTTGATTTCAAAATAAAGGCATTTTACATTGGTATCTGTATTTTATTGTTCCCAATAGTGGCCACTTCCCTTAACGGCCACATTCCTTTGAAAATTTTTGTGGCCGCTATATGGAAGTTTTACTGTATTTTCCAACTCCACCGACATCAGATTTTCTTTTCGTGAAATTATCCCTCTAATATTTACTATATTTTTTGTCTTGTAAAAAACGCTACATCGCATAGATTTTGTGAAAAAAAAATTTTTGAAGAATTTTTCCAAAACAAACCTACAAAATATACAGCAAGTTCCAGTATTTTGTAGACAGAACAACTACGTATTTTTTGGGTCAAAATAAGTTTATACCTTTAGTATTTACCTTTATACAAAAATTAATTTCGTTTGACTAAGTTAGAGGGAATCAATCAACGATAAACCCGAAACTAACATAAAATTTCATATTTTCGCCAACTAGATTATTAGAACAATAGATTTTATGTAGTAGTGGGAACTATCGAAATGAATACTATCGAAACATTCGATAGTTGCAATTCATTCGAATAATTCGATAACTAGTAAAAAAACATTCGTTGAAAACTATTCGAATAAAAATTATCGAATAGATGCGTCATCTGCCTTGAAATATTGCATTCTAATAATTCGGCAGCAAAAACCATTCATTTATAAATTCATTCATTTATCAAATCCATTTATTCGTCAGGATCGATTATAATAAAATATTAACTGGATTTTAGTTGTCGCCCGGCGATGTAGGTTTCGAAACGGCAGCCAGTCGGTGGCGAAATGCTAGAAAGCCGGCATCTTTGATTTTTTGCGTCATTGCGAGTCATATAAAGATAAGGACATTATTTTTTATTGAGGTGCTAGTATTTACACAAAAATACATTATGAAGGGCGCTGTTGCCTGTTGGTATTAGTTGATACCAAAGAATATTATTGTTTGGCTTTAGTTAGTTAGGGATATGACCTGTGGTATGACTATATATTTTGCATTTTTTTATTAATATTCTGTTGTTACACTGCAATAATACTTGTTATTTTGGATGTGAGGAAAATAGTTTTTAATGTTTTTAAGCAAAGACTGGTTTAATAAAAATAATAATAACAGTAATAATTTGTTATACCTATTAACAATGTGAAAATCACACAAATTATCGGAAAAAAATTGACACCTGCACACGCACACAATCGTCAATTAAAAAAAACTACTATTTTAGTATTTTAAATATTTTAGTATACCCAAAATTGACACACTATTTATAAGGTGAAGTTATAAAAATTTGGAAGAACTAATAATGCACTGACGCACACAAAAATCAAACGAATACTAAATATAAGCCACGACTATCGATGCTTTTGATAAATGATCAAAAGCAGTAAATAACTCTTTAACCATTTAGTTGCACGGCGAGGTTGTCACATATGCTTTAGTATACAAATGAATGAATGATTTTATTCGAATAAAACCATTCGATGGTTGAAATCATTCATTCAGTAACCATTCGATAGTCTAATTCATTCGATAGTTCCCATCGCTAATTTTATGCGCCTCCATAACAAAAACATTTTTTGGAAGTCAGCTTTGGAAAAATTTTTTTTTTCCTCAAAAAGTATGCACGCTGGCGTTTTTTTACAAGAGACAAAAACTGCAGTAAATACTAGATGGACCCTTTTACGAAAAGAAAATCGGCCGTCGGTGGAGTTGGAAAATATTTATAGTAAAATTTATATAGGGGTGGGGGTAATTTTCACCCTTCCCGTATTTTTTCTTGGATTATGTGAAAGTCAAATACTCTTAGCAAAACATGACAAAGTTTGATGCCCTCTAGCGGACAAACGAAGCACTATTGAATAGAAGTAAATTGTATCCAATTAATATATTTTGATGCTAAAAATACGTAGTAGTTCTACGTCCAAGGAATGTTGGGTCACCCTGTATAATGCCTACTATGTATATGATATTCGGTCTGAATCTGAACAAAGACCCATTAAAAATCAAACAGTGTGCATGCATTCTGAACATCGGGTTTAAATGTTGGAATATTGCCAAAGTCCCAGGCCTCTAATTAGTATAGAAAGTGGACTATTGATAAATCAGACTAAACTGCAGTATCGGAACATTTTTTATTTTCGATTTATTGAGGTATATAAGGATGCACCTAGCTTCGTTTCATGATAAGTTAGCTTTGGTCAATATTAATTCGATATTCTTAGATAATAATAAAAAAATATTTGCTGTTGTACCAATAGTATAGAAGCTACGAGAGGACACGAAGACGATTTAGGCGCGATTCTCGAATGTAATACCACAAGATGTTTCGGGATTACCGAATAATACTTTTACCTGACACGAAATGCGTTACCCACCAAGTGTTATGGCCACCAAGCGATAATCACTTAAATGATTATTACCCAGCTAACAAAGTTGTTCTATAAATTTAAGCTAATGGAACACTTATATCCTATTAAAGTTTTATTGTTGTATCTAGTACACTAAATTACTGTATTAATGGGGCATATGAGACTATTTTGTTTTCAAGAACTGAATTGTTCTTTAAACTCATTGCAAGAACGTTCTTAGGGCATAAATTAATTATAGAACAGTTATAAGACCAGTGTAAAATTTGCTCTATAAGGATGCTCCGTGAAATAATTTTACAGCAACGTGCTTATAGAATCAAATTATTGTAAAGCCGATGCAAATTAGAGCTCAAAAGAACAAAACCATACCCTGTACAACTCTTATACAATTATCCCATAATGTCGCCTGTGCCGTCTTAATAGAACTATTGTATAAGAGTGGTATGTGACGATTATGCTACGAACACCAAATAGCAGATATGAAGCTCTATGGAAGTTTGTATCGAACTTAATGGGAGTAGTTCTATAAGGTTATTTTATAGAATAATAATGTAGTTCTTATACAATAATTATAAAGCAAATTTGAGTTTTTCCATCTTTTTTGATCCTTATAAAAACGCTACAGAATTAGGTACAATATCTCAATTATTATTGACTCCATTTTGTTTTAAGTGTACAGGTTTTGGGCAACGTCCGAGAGAACGTCTTGTGTAAAGTAGTAATAATGTGTTTTAGATTTAAATATGAATTAATTAACCATTTAACATTCAAATCAACATAGCTATAAGAATGTAGGTATTTAGGGCACTTAATTAGGTAATTTAATAGGTCATCCTTATTGTTAAGGAAAAACTTACCGTGACCATGAAATATGACAACATGACGGATATTAATTATTAAGATGTTATATTGTATAGTAGCTACTTATGAAGTATATTTGCTCTTTAACCATTGCAATTGACACAAAAATGTCATATTATGAAAAATCCATGTTGGAAGTACCAACGAGGCGACGAGAAAAGGGAAAAATTGTGTTTACTAGCATATTTCTAATAAAGGATCAACGATAAAGGTGGAAAGCGTTTTATTTTTACTGAGAAAGATATTAGAATAAAAATTTTACTTTTTATTTTAGTATTGAAAATACTTCTGGCCGCGTTTATATGGGACCCATCTTTGAAAAAGCGACATGCTAGAGGCGACATGGAGTTCAATAACCTGCCTAATCAACTTGTCAACACGTAAGTTGTTAGCTGAATAGAGCAAGGCCGTCCGAGGGCCGAAATGAGGTCTTATTAGTGTGGGCCAACTATTTTATGGATATGGATGTTTAGTCTCTGAAAGCCGATATTATTATAAAAAAGAATATGCGTCAAGGCATGGGTTGTTAAGTACAGTTAAGCTATTTTAACCTAACTCTTTCCGTATGAGAAGCAGGGGGCAAATTATACGTGAAAGAGCGGAATAACATAAATAATAAATTTAGACTAATGCAATATTTTTTCTTGGAGCGTAGAATAATGCGCACAATCGATGCATTAAAGGGAATAATTAATTAAATCATTAAGTTCCAAAACATACAATAATTCGGGTCTCATCGGATCTGCTGATATATTTTGATAAAACTTAGGCTATTAGGACCTATATTTTTTTATACGATAATTATTTTTTTAATTAACAACTTAGGACAAAGAAAAAGCTTGCATGGTTTCTACCACCAATGTAAAACAAATGAATTCAAGGCGGTGCCAAATATTTATTGGGATAAGTTTTTATTGTTTAAATATTGTTGTAAATAATAATTATCATTTAATTAGAGCTAACTTATTAAATATCAAAACACGGCGAAATTTCAACAAAATCGGCTAACGGATCTTTGAGATATTAATAAAAAAGGTCTATTAGAAAACACCTTGACACCCCTGTATCTTTAAAATTATACATTTCCGGACACATGTTTATATGAACTTCTTACCTTAAAAACACTCAAAGAATCCCCTCCTGAAGTTTGGCCAGATACTTAATTAACATCCTGTATTTAAAAATGGCTAGCTAGTGATTTAGTAAGCTATGTTTATTTTAATAGGAAAAAAAATCATTTCATAAAAAATAAACAAACCCATAATACAAATACTATACACTAATTAATTAATTTTAATTGTATCTAAAGGCACTTTAATAATGGAAAAATGGACAGGAGCACTTAAAAATAACTTCATAGAGTATACCAAATATGCTAAAAATAATAATTCCAATAAAAAAACACAAATGGCACATTAAAATCTGCATTATCTAAAATCAAACTATAGCTAAACGGCTAATAAAATAGAGACAAG